GAGTCTGCAATGGGAAAAACCACTCTAGGTTACCTCTACCAAGTTGCCAAAACCAGAAACGTCTGGTGCCTTTTTAGTGTGTGTATTCCCCCTCGATGTTAAAACTAGGTTAACCTTCCGTGGGAGGAGGGTCCTGTTGGAAGGCAGCGATATGGAGTATCTAAAGGACTAATCATTTTTCTTCCTTACCCACATTTCCCCTTTCCCGAGGGAGAAGTGAAAAGGAGGGAGAAATAAGTGATGAGAAAGAAGGGTCAGCCATTGGTGTAACCATAAAAATGCCTTCCACCTTCAGAATCCTATACCCTTCCACACAGAATCTGGGTCCAAGATGCGTATCTGCTCAAAGGGAAGATGTTCAGGAAAGAATCTTATCCTCCTTCTTAGGCCAGAGCTCAGACAGAGACTACTACACTCTGAGGCTGCAGTGAGATCCTTGGCAGAATCTCTTGAGCTCAATAGAATTCTGCAACTCTTGATTCTTTTCCTTGAATATTGAAGACATTCCCCCAAATACCTCCAGGAAGATTCACATCTGGATCTAAGACAGAGAAAGAGAAAAGCAGGGCCATTTTTGCTCAGACCTCCAACTTTATGAACTTCAAATATCGGTTGCTGTTCCGTGGCAAATTTGTTCAGGAGAAGAGGATGAATGCTCACAGGAGCCATCTGGCTCTGAATAACGAAGCTGTACATACAGTGGAGCATTGCATGTGTAGGCTCTAGGGTCAGATTGCACGTGCTCAAATCCCAGCTCTGCTGCCTCTTAGCTCTGTAGCCTTGGGCCAGTTACTTAGCCTTTCTGTGACTCAGATTCCTGGTCTGCAAAATAGGATTAATGAGACCATCCACTTCTCAGGCTTGTTGTAAAGATTACATGAGATAATCTAGATAATTTAATTAGTCCAGCGCTTGAGCCTGTGTTAAGTGCTCAATAGTTAAGTGCTCCATAGGTGCTAATATTAAACTGTGGCTTTTGCCAGTTTTCTGTGTTGGATTTACTTGTAAATCTGCCCTCACAGTTTAAATAGAACCCCTAAAGAGACTGGATTCTGAATATGTCCCAACTAGTCCTATCCTAACCCATGCACTTCCCAACACCCTCATGGCCAAGCAAATGTAAGAGAGGAAACATTCTTTTCTTCTGTCTTCTTAGTTCTGTAATTGGGACCTGAAAATCACACTAATAAAAGACAGATTTTAACAGGAGGAAAGAAATGCAAATTTTGTTTGATATTAATATTTCAATTGTTACATGCACAGGGGCTTTCAGAGAAAAGAACTGAAGACGCAAAGAAGTGGTAAGATCTGGAGGCTTATATGCCATTTTAACAAAGGGTGATAATTTATGGAGAAGTGACAAGACAAAGGAAAAGAGGTTTGGGCTTCTAGGGGAAGTAAATTGTGGGAAGGTAAATATGGGTGTCTTGGGTGACAGGTACACTAAAATCTCAGTCTTCATCACTATACAATTCATCCATGTAACCAAAAACCACTTGTACCCTCAAAAACTATATATAAAATATATATAATACATAAGATATGTATTATATATTATATATATATATGAAACTAATAGAAGATACAGGTTGTTTTAGAAAAGTTTGTTTATATAGACCTATGTTCGTGCTGACTTTCTGTCTCTAGTGATGATGGTTGTTTTTTCATGGTACAGGAGAGGAGAGGAGAAACATCTTCACAAAGGGAAATTTACGTCCTACTTTAACGCATATGGGGGTGCAAAGAACTCTTTCTGCATTTGCTACTCCTTAATTGCACTTCTTAATTGCCCTCAGCTCAAAATAATCACAATGCTAAAGTGACACATTTGGGAGTGGCATAGTCTGATCCCCCTCAACAGACAGTAACAAGCTCTTACATTTGTATGTCTTGCATTTGATTTTTCCAAGCACTATCACAAATCTTTACCCCACAATGCTGCGAGGTTTGCAGAACAATAATTACTCCTATTTTAGAGAAGAGGAAACTGAAGTCTCAAGAGATACAGTGTCCTTCCTGTTTAAAACTATCCAGCTTGTTAGAGGGAGAGACAGAAGTACTCAAAGTCAAGTCTTGGCTGGGCATGGTAGCTCACATCTGTAAATCCCATCACTTCGGGAGACCAAGGCAGACACATCACTGGAGGTCAGGAGTTCGAGACCAGCCTGGTCAACATGGCAAAACCCTGTCTCTACTAAAAATAACAAAAATTAGCCAGGCATGGTGGCAGGCACCTGTAATCCCAGCTACTCGGGAGGCTGAGGCACCAGAATCACTTGAACTTACGAGGCAGAGGTTGCAATGAGCTGACATTGCACCACTGCACTCCAGCCTGGGCAGCAGAGCAAGATTTTGTCTAAAAAAATTTAAAAAAATTTTTTTTAAAAAGACAGAAAAAGAAAAGTCTCCCCATCCAGTGTCATTTCAAACTACTACAGTATCTATTCTATAAATCTTCCCTTTGGTCATAAGAGATCTAGCAGCTTGCTTCCCCTGTCCCACAATTGTTCAAGTTGCTTTCAGACCATGTGAGGAGGAAGAAAACACACAATCCATAGGAGGACTAGTCTCTCTATAGCATGAGTTATTTTATCTGTAATATTCTGATTGCAGAATGAGGTTGAAAGTGCCTCAACATCTGAAGCAATGGTGTATTGGAAGAAATGGAGGGGAAGGGTCCCTCATTTGATCTGATCAAAGTAGTCCAGTGTAGTCCAGTAGTCCAGTGGACTGAGCCTGGCTGAGCCCAAAGTGAAACTCAGAAATGACTGGAAACTGTCTGAGGCATTCATCATTCAGCAGCAGCCTGAGCCTGAGCCTGTACTTGTATGGGAATAGTGGTCTTTAAGAGAAAGTTCTCTATGCTGTTCCCTGAGGAGCAGAAACAGAGACAAGGTTGGTGGGTGACAGGATGGCAGAAGGATGAAGGAAGAGGAAAGGTTGACATTTGCTCTCCCACTGTGCCCCAAAGATTGGTTGTGTGGAGAGGGTTCCTGGCATTTCATCACCTGGAACAAAGGGATTTGGAAGAAATCTGGATTTACAGCACCTTGGGTGAGTCTCTACTCAGCAGGAGTAGAGACCAGGTAGAAGAACACAGAAATGGGGACTGAAGCGTGGGTCTGGATAGAGGACCTGAGGGCCTTTGTTCTTGGCACAGGAACCAAGTCTGAACGTTTGAGCAAGGGCAGGGAGATGTTGCTGCAGGTAGAAGCTGAAGCTGTTTTTCTTATGCAGGCCTCACTGAGACGTGTGGTAGAAGCAATGTTTTTTTTGGTGTCCAGGTGATAATGTGTGGCACAGAATTCCAAGAGGCATTTCCACCCTTCGGGGGGAGCCATCAGTTCCGTCAGCCAAGGCTACCAAATAGAAGGCAGCACCACTTAGGCTCCACTCAGGTGTGCAGCTGTGAACACTCCAGAATCCACGCCTCCTCTGAGGAGGGGTTTCTGTGTTCTCACAGCCAGAAGCACCTGCCAGTATCTGGGTGGGGTGTAGAGGCTCCCCTCAAGTGGCAATGTGGGCAGCTGACCCCCATGGGACAGGGTAGGAGTCAAAGAACAACAGGAGAGGACTATCTCAGAGCATGTGAAACTTCTGAAATCTGCCACAAATAATTGGGGGAAACCTTCAAGGGATTGAGATCCTGTAACACAGGTGGTGACAGTGGTCCATTCACATCCAAGATTTTCCTGCTTATGGGACATTATTTTTGCCCGTGGACCAGTGAGGCCTGGAGAAACTTGAAACCCCATTTTATAGCAGATGAAATGGTGTCAAGTACTTGGGCATATAATAGCCCAGCTCCATGTAGATGCTGAGGGGCTCTTGAAACATTTCTAAATAAAACCTTTAGGATGGGTAGAAGAACAGGGACTGAGCTCTAGCAGGGTACGATTGGGCTTCATTTATTCCATTTATCTTTAGTGACGCTAGCTTGAAGGAGAGGACAGCAAAAACAATAAGAAGAAGAATGGCTAGGGAGAAAAATAAATAAAAGAATTGCCATCCTTCTCCATTAGCCTGGCTACAAGAAAATAAGGTTCATTTTTAGGACATTGTCCTTTCTGTATACATTTTCCAGGCATAAGTTGCAAATCCTATATTATCCATTTCTTTTTCAGCAGAGAGAAAACTCGACAGTGCTTTTCCTAGGTAAAAGCAATCCTGGCCGAAAAAGGACGTCCAAACTCCACTCGGTCTTGGACTGGGCTAGGTGTGAGCGAACAGACCCAGAGAAGAGGGGGAAAGCTGGGTCCCCAGGGGCCAGACATCTCTCTGGAATTCGTATTTCCTGACTTATCCCACCTTCTCTTTCCTGAGGCAAAAGCACTGGTGATTGAGGCAGCTGCAGGCAACCCACACAGCCAGATTCTTATGTACAGTATCAAGGGGCTGCCAACTTGTCTGCCAGTCTGTCTTTCCTGAGTATCATTTTCCTCTTCCTGAAATCAGACCCAAAGTTAAGGGTAATGGAGCAGTGGACTTGAGTCCTGGAGCAGTGGACTTGAGTCCTCAGAGAAGGTTACGTCTCTGTCCATGAATTACCATCTCTGCTGCCACCACCCTAGATTAAGTCACCCAGCCAGTCAGTTACGTGGACTATTGAAGTAGAGGGCTCAGCTGCTCTCTGATCCCTTCCTCCATCCTGTCTCCAAACTGTTGCCAATTTAACTATCCAAAATAAGTTTCTAATCATGTCTCTCCTACTGTTGTTGAAAGATTACTGAGTAACTCAATTATATGGACTACCATTGAATACATAAATTGGTCCTATTTGCATCAAATTCCCCATTGTCCTGATTTCTTCTCTTCACAGCTTTCACAATTCCAATCTAAGTTCGGTGTGTTCTTGTTCTCCCCACTCCATTGGAATGGAATGTTCATATCAGCAGGATTCTTATCTGTCTGTCCCCCAAACAGTAGCTGACATAAGTTACATAACTAATATTGGTGGAATAAAGGACTCAGTAAATCAAATTCTAGGAGCCACAATGAACTCTTTTTTCATAAATGAAGTTTATTTACTTTTATAATTATAAATGTAATACATGCTTACTGTAGAGAATCTGAAAAGTATAGAGAAGTAGAAAGAAGAAAATAAAAACTACCCATAACCCACCACCTGAAGGCAAACACTGCTCGCATTATGTTCTAACTATCTATGCCTGTTTATAGACCAAGACCCTCATCAAGAGTGCTGGCCATGAAGCACAACAGCCAAGGGGAGTGAGAGCAATCAACAACTGAGGGGGTCACCCAGAGGTCAGAGCTGGAGAACGCGCACTGAGGGACACAACAAAGGCCAGAAACAACAGATCAAGAGGTCAGAAGCTGACAACACAAGAACAAGTTGCGTTACTGTAAGAATGTAGTGAGATGGTGCTTGTCAAGAGTTTAGCCCAGTGCCTGTCACATGATAGATACATTATCAATAACTGGTAGCCATCATACTATCACTATAATTATTATTATGGGTCAAAACGAATGGTTCAGGATGGATACTATAAACAGGGCAAGGACCCTGGAGACCCATTTTAGGTGCTATGAGTTGGGGCATACAGGGCAAGTCTACTGGGTTACAAAGGTGGTATAGGAGTAGGCATCACTGTCCTTATAGGCTCCCCTGCCAGGTGAAATAGAACCAGGGCTTCCTCAAGTTTGCCTGCTGACACATGGCAAGATACACTAAGGGGTTTTGAGGTAAGATATGATTTATCCTGCCTAGACTTCTCCCTGGACCAAGAACTAGTACTGGCCTCGGTGGTGATGGGAGTTCAAAACTTCATACACCATACACTCCTGTGGTCCACACTCTGATTGTCAGGGCAGGTCATAGGCATATGGGTGAAAGAGAAGGTCAAATCAGCCAAGTGAGAGGTAAGGTGGGATGTGCCTGGAGCGGGAGGCTGAAGGGTGAAGGCAACAAGGTTTATGATGTAGTTGAATGGAATGGGTCCAGGAACCAGTCCTCCAGTTAGCAGTCGAGTCAGATATCACAGGAGAAGATTCCATGGAGTTTTACTTGTTGGTATGGGCCTTCTGATGATGGCCTGTGCTCTGTCCAAGATGGTCATGAAGACCTTCTTGGGGGTCTCCGTGCTCTTTCAGGTAGTAACAGCGTTTGGGAACATGCTGGTGCTGCAAGTGAGAAAAAGACAACAGAGGTAAGAGCCACACTTACTATGACAAGGGGTGTTCTGCCTGGATAAGTTCTGTAACCTAGCAGATCAAGGCACTTTGCTAATTTGTCTGACTTGCATACAGTGTGACCAAGGAGTAGGCTATTCTAATTCCTTAGTGACCTGACTCCACAGCACCTGTTGCTGTAGATGGGCCCCAGCTCCCAAAAGACCCGTTTATTAGAATTGGACTTGGAACAAGGGGAGAATTGGAACTGAGCCCAGCCAGTTCCCTCATAATGAGAAGAATTCGTACTTCAACTATCCCACGTCCTCAGTAACTTGGGCAGGACATTGCTCCTCAAAGTAGTTAACATACCCAAAATAACTGCAGAGCCATGCTCACTTGATGGAACTCCAGCTTAGGGTTTAATGGTCTAGGAGCTCCATGCCTCCCCCTTGCCTCTTCCCGATTCTACTCAAGGAAGCAGGATGTATTCTTTGTCGTGACCTCCTCATTTCTCTGCTCAAATACCTTCGGTGGATTTCCCCCTCATTACCTCCTCAGTCTGCTGCTGAGAGCTCAGTTCATTCTCCATGGCCTCCTCATTATTCCGCTTACAGGCTGTTGGCAGAACCTGGCTTGAGTTGCCTGGGGAATCCTTCTCTTCAGCCAGCTGGCACTCGCTGTACAGAGACCTGTCTATCAGCTCCTTTAGGCTGCCAGCCACCTTCAGGAAGATCCGACCCATTTTGGTGGTAACAGCTTCTGAGAGTCCTTCCAGAAATCTGGTCCGTAGAATGGCATCAGACCAAGACAAATGACGGGCCAGCAGCAGGAAGTCAGTGGCATACTGCCTGACTGACTTTTGGCCCTGTTTGGGATGGCAAAGAACAGCACTGAGGATGTCTATCTCAGATAGGGAGTCATATACGCCCTGGGATCTTCTCAGGAAAGACTTATTTTCATCTGAGAGAGGTTCTCCTACCTCCATCTGCAAGATGAACCACCTCTCTGCTGCTCCCAGATGAAGAGACACCAGAAATGCCATTCTCTCTGAATCGTCCAAAAACCCCTTCATTTGCTTCTCCTCATCAATCTCCATCTCTTCCTCCACAGAGCACGAGCCCCGGGCTGCTTCCTGCTCTTCTAAGAGGTAACAGAGTGCTGGGGTCAACATTCCGAAGGATGGCACTTCCTTTGGTGGTGGTTTCGTAGTTTCAGGAGTTGTGGCAGTCATGTGCGGTGTGGGCTTTGATCCAGAGGCTGTGATGTTACTGTGAGAGATGGAAGCCTCTCCAGAGTCTGTGGCTTTGGTTTCCAGAGTGGACATCACTCCAAAGGCTGTCTGTGGTGTGGACATTGTTCCGGGGCCTGAGGCCCTCATTAGTGGTATGGACCTCCCTCTAGAGTCTGTGGCTGTCATTTGTGGCATGGACATCCCCATGCCACATCCAGAGGCTGTGGCTCTCGGTAGTGGCATGGGCATCGATCCAGAAATTGAGGGTCTCATAAATGATGTGGACATTGCTCCAGAAGCAGAGGCTCTAATTGGCGCTGTGGCCATCCCTCCAGACACTGTGTATGTTGTTTGTGGCAAGGACATAGATCTAGAGTTCGCAACACTGGTTTGCAATGTGGACATTGCTCCAGAGGCCATGGTTTCCATTAGCGGCATAGATATCTCTCCAGAATCCACGGCTGACATTAAAGGCATGGGCATTGTTCCAGAGGCCGGGGCTCTCGTTAATGGCTTGGACATCCCTCCAGAGACCATGGCTGTTGTTTGTGCAGTGGACATATGTCCAGAGGCTGAAGCTCTCATTAACTCTGTGGACACAGTTTCACAGGCTGAGGGTCTCCTTAGTGGTGTGGACATAGTTCCAGAGGCTGGAGCTCTTACTAGTGGTGGGGACATCCCTCCAGAGGCTGGGGCTCGCACTGGTAGTGTGCACATGTCTCCAGAAGCTGTGGGCATCATTTGTGATGTGGATGTTACTCTAGAGCCTGGGGCTCTCATCAGTGGCATGGACATCCCTCCAGAGGCTGTGGATCTTGTTAGTGGCATGGACATTGCTCCAGAGATGGGAGCCTTCACTTGTGGCATGGACATCATTCCAGAGGCTGTGGTTGTCATTTGTGGAGCAGACATGGCTCCATAAGCTGAGGATCTCAGAGACGTGGGTATCTCTCCGGAAGCTGGAGCTCTCATTAGTGGTAGGGACATCTTTCCAGAGGATGGAGCTCTTGTGAGCAGTGAGGGCCTCTCTCCAGAGTCTGAGGTTCTCATTAGTGGTGTGGACATTGTTTCAGAGGTCCAGGCTCTCATTGTTGGTGTGGACATCACATCAGAGTTTGGAGCACTCATCTGCATCCCTCCAGTAGTCATGGATCTCATGGGAGACATGGACATCCCTCCAGGATCTTGGGTGCTCATTGGCTGACCGAGCATCTTTCCAGAGGCTTTGGCTCTCATTAGTGAGGCAGGCGTTACTCCCGGGTCTTGAGCTCTCATTAATGGCATGGACATCCCTCCAGAGACTGTGGCTGTCATTTGTGATGTGGTCATCGCTCCAGAAGCTGTGTCTCTCATTAGCAGCGCAGACAACCCTCCAGAGACTGTGTCTGTCATTTGCGGCATGGACAGAGCTCCAGAAACTGTGTCTCTCATTGGCAGTGTGGGCATTGCCTCAGAAGCTGTGGTTGCCATTTGTTCCGTGAACATCGTTCCTGAGGCTTTGGGTGTCATTAGTGGCTTGGACAATGCTCCAGAGGCCAGAGCTCTCATTTGTGGACAGGACATCACTCCTGAGGCTGTGTCTCTCATTAACAGGGTGGATGTTGATCCAGAGGTTTGGGCTGTTATTAGTGGGGTGGACATTGCTCCAGAAGTCATGGCTCTCATCTGTGGTGCAGATGTCAATCCTGAGGCCATGGTTCTCATTTGTGGCACGGACATTGCTTCAGAGACAGGGGCTCTCATTTGCAGCATGGACATTGATCCAGAGGCTGGGACTGTCAATTGTGGCACGGACATTGTCTCAGAGGCTGTGTCCATAACTCGTTGGGTAGACATTGCTCCAGAAGCTGGAGCTCTCCTCAGTGGCTTGGACATCTTTCCAGAGGCTGTGGTTCTCATGTGTTGTTTTGCCACAGCTTTCATAGAGCCTGTGGGCGTTGCTCCAGAAGTTTTGGCCATTGTTAACTGTGCGGACATTACTCTAGAGGCTGTGGTTGACATTTGCTCTGTGGATATCACTCCAGAGCTTGGGACTGTCATCAGTGAGGTGGTCATGGCTCCAGAGGCTGGAACTGTCTTTTGCAATGTAGACATATTTCCAGAGGCTGGGGCTTCCATTAGCGGTGTGGACATTGCTCCAGAGTCTAAAGCTCTTACTGGTGGTGCAGGCATCTCCCCAGAGGCTGTTCCTCTCATTGGCAGAGAAGACATGATTTCAGAGTCTATATTTTGTGTTGACCATGGGGACATCACTCCAGAGCCTGGGGCTGGCATCGTTTGGGTGGGCATCACTCCAGAGGGTAGAGCTGTCATTACTGCTGGGGACATTGCTTCAGCATCTGGAGCTGGCTTTGGTAATGTGGACATTTCTCCAGCATCTGGGACTGGCAGTAGCGGTGTGGACATTACTTCAGAACCTGGAGTTGACATTAAAAGTGAAGACATTATTCCAGAGTCTAGCTCTGACATGAGAGGGGTAGGTATTCCCCCAGAGTTTTGGGTGCTTGTTGGCTGGGGTGATGTTCCTCCAGAAGCTAGGGCTGACATTATCAGTGAGGATATTGCTTCAGAGTCCGTGCCTGACATTAGCAGCGAAGATATCTCTCCAGAGGCTAGAGCAGTCATTAGCACTTTGGACATTGCTTCGGTGTCTTCATCTGTAATTTGCAATGGGGACATTGCCTCAGAGCTGGGAGCTGGCACTGGCTGTGTAGACATCACTCCAGGAGTCATATCTTGCATTAGAATTGGGGATATCTCTCCAGAATCTGGGGCTAGCATTAATGGTGTGGACATTGCCTCAGAGGATGAAGTGCTCATTATAGGTGTAGACATCGCTCCAGAGGATGGAGCTGGCATTGCCAATGGTGATATCTCTGCAGAATCTGGTGCTACCATTAGTGTTGTGGACATCGTTCCAAAGTCAGGAATTGTCATCATCCCTGGGGACATTACCCCATACTCTGAAGCGGACAGCAATGGGGACAATGTTCCAGAATCTAAGGCTGGCATTAGCAATGGGGACAGTGCCCCAGGGTCTGAGCCTGGCATTAGCAATGGGGAAAGTGTCCCAGAGTCTGAGGCTGGCATTAGGGGTGGGGACAATGCTCCAGAGTTTGGTACTCCCATTAGAGGTGCAGACATGGTGTCAAAGGCTGGAGATGTCATCAACTGTGTGGATGTCCCTCCAGGGTCTGAGGCTGAAGTTGAGACTATAGGCAACTGTACATGAGAATGCAGAATCTGTACGTCTGCTCTGGTCTCCGTCATTGGTCCAGAGAAGGCCATCCGCTTGTTTTGGGGCTCAACATTTTCCTCCCTCATTGTATTGTTGAATCGCAGTGAATGTAAGGGTATTGATGTATCTGCCACAGCCACAGGACAGTGTGGAAGGAGCCCAAGCGGCAAGAAAACCTGTAAATAAGAAACAAGTTTAGAGGTCAAAAGTCAGTATCAAGAAGATTGGGAAATAGACAAATTGCTCATGGAGACCCGTTTTTATGCGTTCTCAGGTATACGGCATTGAAGGTTAGGCTATCAGATTAAAGAAGATGTGAAGCAATGAACAACTTTGGAGTTGGAGCAAATATCCCTTCTGCCTCTATCCTTTTCAAACCAACCCACAGCCTCTCAGTTTGTAAATGCTGTAAACGCCAGCAACCTCCGCAGCCAGGAGCCTGGGCAGTCCTGACTCAAATAAAGCAGCAGCACCACCTTCTGGCCAAGTGTGAGAAATGCAGGTTCCTGGCCTGTATTCTATCCCACGGCAGTACTCACAAGCCAGCCAAGGTACTGGCAGGCCTGAATAAGAAAGTCCTTTGCCCCAGGATAATCATTAGTTCCTGGAGTTCATTGAATTCTGCCAACGGTTTAATCCTCGTTTTACTACTCTGATGGCCCTGAATGTTCTCCTCAGGAAAAGGGAGACATTTATCTGATCAATGACTGAGAGCAACATTCCATGAACTGAAAATTCTGCTTATTGTCTTCATTATTCTTATTAATAACAGCAACCACCACCCCATTGCTACTATTTATTTATTGCTTCACATAGTATGTGCCAAGCACTGTACTTTAGACAACTGTTCACAACCTCCTATAACATAAGGGCCTTTGTAAGCATTATCCCATTTGGTTCTTGCAATCTCCTGGGCAATAGATACTATTATCCCCATTTTACCAGCTTTATCAGATTAACCAGGGTCAAGGCTAAAATAGGGTCACTGCAACAGTAACAAACTGTATATCATTGACTGTGACCCCCTCCTGGGGGTTGCCTAGTGTTTGGCATCCCTGAGCTTGCATTCAATTATTTCTCTGACATCCTAGACCATGGGTCACTTAAAGCCCAGTCTCTAGCATGTCCAAGTTTCAAGTTTCTCTGATGACATGGGGGTGGGCGATCCAGAGCCTCAGCCCTCCAGTTTGCTCCAATAGGCAGCCCCAGAAGGGGCTTTTGGACACACGACTTGGAAGCCAATGCAAATATTACACAATGTTGACATGTCCCCACAGCCTGCTCATGCCAAAAGCAGAAAACTTGCTACTTTGGGACAATGTCACAAAAGTCATCAACCTCATGGAATTGTGATTCCATAATAATGAGAAAACTTGCAACAGAAATGCGAACAGTGAACATTTCTTTAGCATGCACTGACTGGCAAACACTGTGCTAGGCACTTTACATGTATCATCTCATGTGGTCCTCATAGCAACACTAAGAGATTTCGGTTGTACTCGTCCTTTATCTTACAAATAAGAAAATTCAGACCCAGAGAAGCTTGATAATTTGCCTGTGGTCACATAGATTCCTGGCTCCATCCACAGAGCCCCCTACTCTTCACCGCTGTGCTATAAAGATCCACCTCTCCCCCTTACTCAGTCACACTACCGAGTCCCCTACCTCTGTCTCCAGCCTGGACAACCCCAAGATGGGTTGTGGCAAAAGAAATGCGGGCCTTCTGCTGACACCCTGGTTATTGTAATAATCGGTGCAATGGGAAAGATGAGTCAAAAGAGTGGCCATAGACCTCCACCTCCCATCTTCAGAAAAATTTCTGAACATGCCACAGTTTCCCACCAGGCAAAACCCAGAAAGATCTTACCTTGCCAGTGACGGAGAAGAGGGAGAGAGTATCCTTTGCACCCCTAGCTCTTTTACTATGGCCAATTGACTTATACCTCGTGCCCAGCCAGTTCATTAAAGACCCAGTACCAACAGCTGTTCTCTGCAATCTCCCTTTGCTATCCCCTGCCACGCCCCCCTGCCCGCCAGCCAGCCTGCCCGCCCACCCGCCCCACTGCTCCTGACTTGCTACTGCTTGCTCTGTCTCTCTGGTCCCAGATTCCTGCCTCTATATAGGCTCTGACATTTGCCTCTGGCCGCCTTTCACTTGACAGTCCTCCAGAAGCTCCGCTTTAGCACTTGGCCTATGCAACTCCACCCCTCTTCCCTGTCACCCCAAACAGTCCCACCAGCGTATGCCCCACCCCACTCTACCCAAAGAAAAGAGGAGACTGACACAATTAAAAAGATGCGATGAAAAGAGTCCCAGCTCAGGAAACCAGATATGTGCCCTCTGCGGTTGAGTAGATACAGGAGTCCTGGGACCCAGACACTGCAACTGATATGACATGGAAGCACAGGCAGAGGGCTCGAGGGAAAGAAACTGAGGCTGGAGATTGAGTGGAACAGCATCAGAAACGTTCAAAGAGGTTCAGGTGCAGGGAAAGAGGGTTTGGGAGGATGGACAGTGGGGGCTGGCAAGCAAACACTTTAATAGAGCCCTGTAATGGTGATCATAACAAAGGCAATTTACCCCAGGGTCAGAGACACAGAGAAAAATCCAGCAACCAGATCCCTGCCACAGGACTAGGATTCAACAGAAAGGCTCCATGAATTTCAGACAGCTAGCAAGAAAAACACACCAGCCTTGAGCATACCAGGTGAGGGCTTGTTCATACAAATAGGGCTATAGCCTGCTTTCTAGAACTGGGGCACAAGGTCAGAGTAGAGCTAGCAGAAAGGTTTACCGGAGTACTCCAGTTTTCCTGAATTGGTGCACTCAGTCTAAGGGGAGAAACCCTCAGTCTAAGGAGAATTGGTCCCTGAGCCTTGGATAGGGCAAAGCCTCCAGGTGAAGTTCAAGCAGCCCAGGTATAGGGATATAGAGTTTGACAAGGGAGGCATTCAGGTCGTTATAAACCTCATCATTAGCAACCAACAACAACTGAGCACTTGGGCTAAGCACTGCACATGCATTATGTAATTCCGACCTCCCAGCAACACGCGTAAGGTAGGCATTGAGGTCATTCCCATTTTATACATGAGGAAATGGGCTTGGAGAAGGCTATGTGACCACAGTCACATAAAAGAATCATAATAATAATTTTTTAAAAGCCCAGATTTCAGCCCTGGCCATTCTGTTTCCAAAATAATTTTATCTCTTTGTAATCAGACAAGTGATTAGAAACTCAGAGTACTCTACTCACTGCCATCGCCCCCACATCCCCACACCACAAAGCAAGGAAACTTTCTTACTACAAATAGCTGAATCCTTGTAGTAATAATAACAACAACAACAACTGATATTCCTTGAACTCTTCCCATATGCCAAGAATGGGGCTGAGGGCTTCACCAGCATTATCTCATTTGATTTTTACAATTACCCTGTGAGCTAGATCCTTTAAATTCTCAGTACACAGGTAAGGAAACTGAGCCTCCGTGAGAAGAATTGACATGACCAAAAGCACACAGCTCTGTGTGACTCCAGAGCTCACTATAGTATACTACACAAAAGAAAAATTCCAGTCACTCTCCTCTCCCCTCAAAGAAAAAAATTAAATACATAAAAGTCACAGAATAGCCATCCTATTAACAATGGCCTCACAACAACTATTATTATTATTATTAACACACCTAACAATAAAAGCTAACATTTACTGTGCCAGGCCCTGTGCTAAGTACTTTACCTACATGATCTCATTTGACACTCACAACATACTACAAGGTAGGTTCTATTAGCACCTTCATTTTCCAGATGAGAAACCAGAGAAACAGAGAGGTTAACTAGCTTTCCCAATGTCACACAGCTGCAAGGCACTGTTTATGTTCTAATGCAACAATTTTGGAAATAACCTAAGTGTCTAATGTTAGGACACAACTCATTTAATGATTAAATGAATCATGGTGCAATTGTAGCAGCCATTATTATAGCCATTGAAAATATATTCTAATGTGTACATGAGGATCTGATTATCATAAAGATAAATACGTAGACTTTTGCATAGAAAAAAAATAAAATCTGGAAGGATATATACCAAACGCCAACAGTGGCCATAGTTGAATGATGGGATTAGAGGGGATTTTTTATTTTTATTTTCCTTATCTGTATTTTCTCACTGGTCTATAATGGACCCATAATACAAAAAGAGAAAAACTAATAAAAGTTAATTTTATTTTTTTTAAAGATATGTTTCCCTAGGGTTCTTTCTCAAGCCCTTTTCACTCCATTCCTTGCAAGCTCTCTCTAAGAATCCCCAACATCCAGCCCCCCACCCAAGCAACCTTTCTACCCCAACAAGCTTAATGGTTGTACCACTTTATTTTGTGTTTTATTTTTGGTTTGTTTTTAAAAATAATTTCTTCTTTCTCTAACTTTTATTTATGTTTAATAATTACATAAGTAATCTAGGAATATAGTCTTAGGATAAAGACTTGAAATCCTCCATAGGGATAAAGCTAAAGTCCTGAAAATGCCCCACCCCACCCACCCCCCATCCTCCGCAAGTCCCATTCCTCTGTCTGTTCACAGTTGGGTGTGTCTCCTTCCAAACTTTCTCTAGCTGCAATGGCATTCAGAGTTCATATCATTCAATTGCTTGCAAAACCCAGTGTGTGCAAAGAGTTGCAGTTAGAAAACCATACTGGCACTGGTCACTCCAGGGTTCCAAGTTCTGGCCCATTGTGACTATTTTCATCAGCCCGCTTCTAAGGAGGCTACTGAGAGAGGGTTCTTGCTTGCTCAGCCCATGTGAGGCATAGACTTCTGTTCTATTAAAGCCAGAGTCTCTAGGAACACAGAGAAGAGAGGCCTTCTAAGGAAGGAAAAGCCCAGAATTTGCTGCTTAGCATCTCTCAGGTCCCTCACGTCCCACCCAGTCTGCACTGATCAATACGGCTAGGAGGTGTCATGCTCCTGCCGCCTCACAAAAGGTAATTGAGTTTAGGGGATTGCATAGCTAGCTGCTCGGGGAAATAAGAATAAACAAGAGCTGGTTCAATATGTCAACAAATAGCTTTCCAGCTGTTGAAAATAAGCCTTTACCTAGATTCTCAACAATATTCTCTCCCCAAGCCCTAGCAAATAGGCAACCAGATAACTGAAAACAGACAACCTAAGGCTAAAGAAATACCTGGTCTACTTTAGGATCTTCTGCCTTCCTTGATCATTCAGGGAAGTAGAAACTCTCCCCACTTCCTTCCTCCCCCACAGCCCTGACACTTAAAATGCCCATCGGCTCTTTATAAATAAAGAGGGGGAAATAGCTAGCATTTACTGAGTGCTTACTATGCCAGGCACTATGTTAAACACTTTACATACCTCATCTTATTTATTGAACGATAAACCAATAAAGTGTTTTTTTTACTCCCATTTTCTAAATCAGCTAAAGAACTGAACTACAGAGAAATTAAAATGAAGTAACTTACCTTGGCTCTTACCGCTGAGAGGGAGTGAAGCTGGGCTTGTCACTCGGGTCTGTCTGACTCAGCCAGTGCTCTTAACTCACAGGAGAGTCACACACTGTCTTCAAGTCTCTGAAGGGCTGTCATATGGAAGAGAGGGTAGGTGTGTTCTGGGTAGCTCCAAAGAAAAGGATTTGACTGTTAGTTGGGAATTATGCTTTCATTGGATGTGCTGCAAATTCCCCAAACAACATGTATATGCATGTCCAACTCTATAGGGAAAAGAACATTATAAGAAGAGCAAACGGAACTGCCTTGCATTAGGTGCCGGCCTGAAGGATCTGTGGAATCAAAGAGAACAGGAGGGATACCAGAGGACTGCAAATGGGCAGTGTCCCAATTTTCTTAAATAAGGAAACTACAGACCAGTACACCGTAAACTCCAGAGCTGTAAGCTTGATGTCAGTCCTCGGAGAGATTCTGCTGCAGATTACGAAGCAGGTAATTTATAAGCACTTAGAACATAAGTGGCAATAGGAGGTACCTAGAGGTGCTAGCAGAACACTCAAAATTAGACCAGTTCCCAGACTTGCAGCTAATGCAACCCAAAATTTGAGGGGCTGATATTGAACTCCCAGATTTTTATTTTCCCAAGTAAAAGCATTAAGGAACAAAACAACCACAAGTCATCATTTTCTAAAAAGAAAGGGCTTCAATATCAAAAGAGAAGGAAATAACCTCAGAATAAAGAATAATACATCAAATAGATTTCTCTTCTCTGCGAAACATTTTCTACCTAGTCCTCAGGCTTTCTCATTGCATGGTGGACTGCTGCAATTTTCCTGGAGGATGGGCACTTGTCCAAGGACCTGCTTTAGAGAATCACTTAGAGTTAAAATATCAACACAGATAAGATCATATACCTGTAAAACAGGAAGTCTTTCTGGCCAGAAGAGAGAAGAACAGAGTTTGACCTTAGCCTAAATGAGGACATTAACACAGATAAAGTATCCACAGGAACGGACAGAGAGAAATAAAAGTTGCCAAGTGCGGATTCAAGCCCTGCTGAGGCGGGACTTGGCCATCACATTTGACCTGTGCCACCCGTTGGACCACATGTCTCTCTTGTAGGAATATGTGTCTGATGCCATTAAGCATTTGGACCACAAATCAGTTTCTGGCTTGAGACTCTCCAAGCAAACTTCAGACCACTAGTCTTCCCAGGGAGAGTTCTTAAAGCAGAAAAATTCAAAACCAGTTGAATACCATTGCCAGAGTGGGAGTTCTGCAACAACCTAGAAGGAGGTCCCTAGTCTTGATCCTCTTCTGATTAGCATTTTTAATCAATGGTGTAAATAAAGGCATGGACGGGATTCTTACACAAATTCTCTAGGGCTGAGAAGAACCTCTATGATCAGCCTAGCAAGTAGGTTTACATTTTAAGCTCCATGGTTTACAATATGTCTATCTGCATTTGGTAATTTTCTCTCATGTTCTTTGTTGCCAGAGCACTGAGTTTCTACAGTTTACGCACCTCATGGAAAATGCTTAGTGAACATATGCTAGCTCTGCACCCACCCTGAAGTGCAGATCCGATCATGTTTACAACTACTGGGCATTCGTCTCAATCGTATCTTCTCTCAAATAACTGGTAACAATGTAGACTTCCTTGATGAGAGAAGAGAACAAACTAATGTCCTCTTCTTTACATAATTGGCCCCATTTCCAAGACTTTAAATTGGAATTTAACCACATCTGTTGACATTGACCTTCATCCTGTAGGTAAAGGTAGCACAGCACACAGTACTTGCCATACCCTCTGAAACTGCATTTCTCAAAATAAAAGTGTGATGGGGAAACCCTGCATCAAGTGCTCCCTGGGAAAACTGCTAAAACACAGATCTGTAAGGGGAGGGAGGCTCCATCCTCAAAGAGCAGATTCAATATAGGTCTGGGGTGACGCCAAGGAACCTGCATTTAACCCAAGTGATTCTGAAACACTAGAGTTTCAGAACCACTGGCTTTGAGGTTCCTACATTCTGATTTTAACTTCAAACAGGCCTGGGCTTGAACCCCAATACTTCAAGTTATTTCACCTCAGTTTCCTCATCTGTAAAACAGGCATAATAACAGTACCTACCTCGCATGCTCTTTGAATGTTTTAAACAAAACAACGTGTAAAGAATCTGGCACATAGCTGAAGTTCAGTAATCTCTCCTGGTCCTGCTTATCCGGGGTCCCTGCTGCCTGCCTTCTCTGTGTTCAGCTTCTGCCCTTGCTGCCAATTGCTCACTCTTTCTAGGTCTGGTATTCAAACTCCCCAAGAGAGAGACTCTCATTGGTCTAAATTCAGTAACTGTACTTGCTAGGCAAAGTTCTCATCCCAGGTTCCTTCATAGGCTATTTGCCAGCCTATAGAGTGACTGCTCCTGGATCAGATGCCCTCTCCTGGCTCAAGTGGCTATTGCTAGGGGGAAGCAGGATCACGTGGTACCAAGCATAGTCACCTATTCATAAGAAACTGCTACTTCCCTCAGCTAGGGTCTGTGGATGGAAACTCCTTAGAAGGGGCTTGTGGGTGTGGCAGGAATTCTGAGGCTTAGTCCATCCAGTACACCTAGGCCTCTCATTTATCCAGCCTGCCAAAGGAATGAAGTACTGAAGTTCACTGAAGTCTCTATTTAATTCTGACTTTTCATCTCCATCAGGCCAGGAACACAAGTTTTTTAAAAACTAGACCACAGTCAAGGAAAAAACAAGATATAACCCTAAAATTAGACTCTTCTGTTTCTAGAGCACGTTTTTAAGTTTCCAAAGCACTTTCACATCTATTTACTCATTGCAGAGCTTGAAAACTGGCAGCCACAGGCTAAATTCAGACTGCAGACAGATTTTATTTGACCCGTACAATGTTTTTAACATTTTTTAAAATTAGTTGCCAACATTTAAAAGTCAGGAAATTTCAGATAGAAAGCTAGATTTCTGGCTTCTCTGAAACACACACACACACACACACACACACAGAAAGATTTTGATCCAAATTCCAATATAGCAACAATCAGCCAGAGCTGAACAACCTGCTCCCTGTAGGTGAGGCATGTGCTCACCAGTTTGCCCCAGTACCCATAGGGCCACCTTTACTTTTTCAGTGACCTGCTTGGCCCCTATAGGCATTTAAAGCCTCAATTTAACCCCATGGATTAGGCAGAGAAGGTGGATAAGAGCGGAAATGTGTGGGTTGGAATCCCAGCATTGCTCCTAACTGGCTTTGGGACCCTGGGCAAGTGATTTAACCTCTGAATCTCAGTTTTCTCATCTATGAAATGGGGATGATAAAATAATACTTCTTACCTCATAGGCTTATTGGGCCAGTTAAATGAGTTAATGCATAGTTAGAACAATGCCTGGTACATTACATGCACAAAATAAGTATTAACTTCCTTCATCGCCCACAATTTCCTATGTGCCTCTCTGATATCCTAAAGCTTCTGAAAACTGAAATTTTGTGGCAAGCTCATTTGGTGGCAAAACTAGGCCTGAAATGACATGAGGCTATTCATTTATCCCATTTAGAAATATTAATGAGTTTGATGACAGGGTATAATCTTGGATCTCATTAAGGTGTGATATACATGTTATATGTACCACATTGCTTTTCTAAAATCCAAATATTTTGAACTCTAAAACATGTCTAGCTCCAACAGTTTCAGATAAGGGATTGTGGACCTGTATTATTACTACTTTGTATACCCACTTGACAGATGGGAAAACTGAGCTGCTAAGCATTGAGCTACTTGCCAAAAGTCCCACAACTTGAAAGTGGAAACTATTTAGACTCTTAGACATGAAGCTCATAGTGCCTAGTACTGTGGGATGTCTTGGGCTCACTATAGGCATGTGGATGCAGGTAGTGGCTACCAATCAGGGACTTTGAAGAACTGAAAAATGTCACCACTTACTGAAAGTGCCAAACCCTGCCCTTTGTAGCATTCTTTCAACTCTTTGAGTTACTCTTTACACCATTTGGGTTAGAATTAGGAAGAAGATTATTGTCTTCAGTTTACAGAAGAGGAAACTGAGGTCCAGAGAAGAGAAGTGACTCGCCCAAATTCATACAGCAAAAGACAGGCAGAGTTGGGATTCGAAACCAAATTCTGGGCTTTTTCTTCTTAAACCCCAGGACCAGTTCAAGAATGACATATGCTGACCTTTCCACATACTGAACCACACTCTCTGCAGACAATCCTAAGGTTTTTGACATACCTGATGAAAGGAGAGTGTCCCAAGATCTCAGCAAATATAAAAATGAGACAGCATGTCTGGGTGGACCTCATCCTTCCCAGGACCACAGGCAGCAATGTACAGACACGATCCAGTCAGAAGCTAGGGAGGGGAGATTTCTCAAATCCCAAGAAAATCACAGAGACCCTACTGTTTGCTCTTCTCTGTTGATTTTTAAGAAGCTGACATTTACTTATGCCAAAAGCCAAAAGAAATGAAAAATCTACTGAAAAGGGAATTTCATCAGTCATGGAGCAATAACCTAAAGAAACCTTTGCATAGTATCAGTTCCTTTGTTTGAAATGCAGAAAACAGAGCACTGCTATTTCATATTGTTAGCGCATCAGAGACCTGGGCATGAAAACAGCATCCTTAGGACCTCTTTCCAAACCCCTGCCTCACCACAGAGGAGCTCTCTGACACTGCTACCAACTTCAGCAAGTTGGAAACAAGAAGGCAGGACATGACCCAAGTGACCTCATGTCACTCCTAAGCTCATGGCTTGAGTTCCTCCTACCAACAAATCTGCACTTTGATCACACACCCACAGCGACCCAGATCTTTAAATTCAGCAATTCTTTCTCAGGTTTCAGCAAGGCATTGGCAGCCTGAGCTATTTTGGGACACTTTCTCTGCTGTGGATGCCACTTTCGGAATACGCCAGGAACATGCTAAGGACCTGGAGCTCTCTACCCTGGACCCGTTTTCGGGTTTGCTTGCTCTCTCTCTCTCTTTCTCTGGGCTAATCGTTTAGAGGACAGTCGCTCCTGCCAACCTAATCCCATGAGCCTGACTACCTTGCCGGGCCACAGGCTCAAAGAGGCAGTGTGGCTGCCAGCACCCTCACGGGAAGGGGCACGGAGGCACCAGGCAGTCTGGCAGGATGAGAGACATCCTGGGGGTGGTCTGAGTTTGGATGTGGGCTGAGAAGACAAAGCAGGGGGCTTTCGGGGGACAAGATTTTCCAAACATCTTATTCTTAGGATCATCACTTCCTAATCTGATGCAACTGACTCGGCAGGCATTCGGGAGCCTGTAAGCTCCATTTTCCTGTTCCAAATTCTTCTGCACCTGTAAGTACCGGGCTTACTCATGCTCATGCTGTCTTTTGGGGAGGGGGAGAAGAAAGCAGGGCCTGGGGAAGGTCATCATTATCTGACTCAGGTGTGGGCAGGTCCATGACATTAGAAGAATTTCTGACATCCCCACCGCTCCCCTTCACCCGAAACTGCTTCTTAGTTTGGAAAATGAAAATGCCTGTTCCTTCTTTCCCAAGCTCACCACCCCACCACCCCCCACCACAGCATACCAGAAACTCCACCCGTCCTTTGGGGTCTTCTGTTCATCAATGTTGTGCACACCTGATTTCTTATGTTGGACTTAATGGGAGAAGTGCACCCTTGGCATTTGAATGTCTTAAATGCAACCACAGCTATTATTGTGGGCACAGCCCCTGCTGGCTTCTCCATCTTTTATGCTGTCATTTGCTGAAACAGTGAAAGATGTTGTAAGCGGTAGGGTATAAATAAAAATCTAGAAACTCCTCCATGCTAAAAAGGAAGAGCAATGTGGTTAATTCTCAACGCAGTTAGAAATACTGCCACAATGGGGAGGCTCCACGCTGTGCCACGAATGGTCCCTTTCAATGCTTTCCTATTTTAATGGAAAGAGAGGCCAAAATAACTAAGGGCTCCCCAGGAAAGGAGCATTTCTGATGTTTTTACTGCTTTCCAGAGAGAGGACATTGTCTCTGGCCGGCTTGTCAGTCCCTGAAGCAGCTCCAATGGCTGCTCACAAAGGGAGAATCAGCCCTTCTTTTCCTTCTGCTGGGGACTGCTGAAGTCCCCTCAAATTAGCCCAGGATGACAAAGCCAGGCCCTGCTACCTACCCTCTTCCCCTAACACTGAGACCAAATCATTCTTAGGGATACATAACTTGTTTGGAGGGGAGGGGAATATCTTGGCTAAGAAGCCTTCTGGAAAACCTGCCACGACCCATACTAAAAACTGTGCTCTTCTCTGAACTTTCATATGACCCTCAGCCATGAATAAGAATAAAAGAAGGCAAGCATATTTTGCCCTTTTATTTCCACAGAACACAATAGAAGGAACATTGTCCTTAGCAAAGGCAAAGGATAAGATGTTCCTTTGGCCAAGGCTGGCTGCCTTTAGTTTCTCTGATTGGCAAAATAAACAGCTTCTAATTTGTGTTCTAAAAGGGCTGGTTCTGAAGAAGATTTGAGAAGAACAATGTTAATATCAGTGCTAAAAAAATCAAGACAGGAATTTCACCTTATGTCTGGTGGAGACTGGATTTGTTTTCAGGCTATAGGACAAAACTAGTCTCAGGAGGAATTTGTTTCTGACTTCACTACCGCCTGTTTGCTTGGTCCTTGGTAATTCATGAAGTTTCTTAGCTCTCCTCCTTCTAAGAAGCTCTGAGAAAATGATGCTTGGATCATAGAGGTTCATTGTCTGGAAGACTTTTGATCAAAGCCCTGAGTGCTGGGGTGGGGGCAGATTACGGATTCTGATTATAACCAAAATAATCCAAGTCCTGTCTTGGCGGAAGCCTGAATTTTATGTCCACCTTGCGGCATTCCAGGAGCATTAAGAATGTTCCATCGGCCTTTCCAATCTCTCCATCCACTCCCAAGGGCTTGAACATTTTTAAGTATATAATTCTTTTGACTCAGGGCTTTGGCATCAGTTAAAATGCCAACCTCTTGGGAGGATCAGTCTCTTAAATCTCCCATCCTGAAAGCAGGTTCTGATAGAGGGACAAAGAGAGAGGAGGAACATGAAATCATTCTAGGTACAAACATGAGCCTCAGAACAGAAGTCTGCAAGCAGGACCCAGGCAAGGCCAAAGTTCCAAGAAGCTCTGTTGGCAGAAAGGGAAGATTCTATTCTTGCTAAAATGGAGTACAGGCAACTTATTGGGGCAGAGACTCAGGATTTGGGGAATAAGAAAAGACCCACTTAATGTAACCGGGGTATAATAAGGAGGAAGAATCTCATGTACTAACATAGGATAAGAGATAGGGGAACTCCCTGCAAAGGTACCCTTAGGCTGAATTGCCTGAGTCACTGAACAAGGGCTCCAAAAATGTTATGAGGCCTCAGTACATGGAACAAATAGATTTAACAATCTGCTGCCCCTACAATCCTGGCATTTCTTCAGCCCAGAGTGGGTAGGTCAAAGGAGGGGACCACACTAAGATTTAGACTTTTGAGACCCTCTTCCCACCCTTTCCTTCCTCTGATACCAGCATTGAACTCATTCCCAAGGAGATTCATGGTAGATACAGTGATTCACTTCATTTACCAAGAACTATAAGGTATGAAGAGGGGTTGCCCATGTACAGCCACAGGTCAAGGATGCAGCATCCCCACAGCTCTATGTGGGCTCCTTCCTAAGGCCTAGTGGACACAGTTTGGATTAAAACCACTTGGGTACAAATTCTGGCTCAGCCACTTACTAGTTGTGTGGCCTTGGGCAAGTGGTATAATCTATCTAAATCTCACCTGTAAAATGGGCACAGTAATAGGAGCTATCATATAATGTTGTGAAGACTGAATGTGATGATGCCTGTACAGCCCAGTACAGTGCCTAGTACAAAGGAAATGCTTAACAAAAATCAGCAATGATTAACATTCCTGGCTCTCTGCTTATGCTTCATTGCCTGAGGATAGGTTATAACAGCAGATCATCCCACTCTGTGCAAGTCTTACAACTGCAGGGGTCAGGGGCTCACCATCTCCTTCAGTTAATGTCACCCTCTCACCTTTTCCTCCAAGTCCCACTAGAGAGCATTCCTAAGCCTTTCCTCCCGCTAGTTCTGATCTGCTCCATCCCCCAGCTAACTAAATAGATGGATTCACTGCTAAAGAT